TTAGCAGTAGACAATTAATTTTATTCGCAGGAAAGCAGTCTTCAACAAATCAGCCAACTCTGGACCACCTTTTAGAACCGATGAATCGTTGAAAGCATGATTTCTCAAACGTCTCATAACATGTTCTGCTTTAGGATTGAGTGCTCCAAATAACGAACTTGCTCCCAGGATAAGCATTATTAAAAAGCCACCACGGCTTCCCCGCACTTTTTAATGTAGAAAAACACTACTTTCTTAATTTTAATAGATAGAAAGCGCTTTCTAGATATGAAAGCGATAATGATAAAAAATGAGATGATTAGCGTTGATGTGTTTAAAATTAAACTCGATACGGGTTATGTTTCTTCAATTGAAACACGCCACTCGACACAAAAAATAAAATATGAATCAATATACATATATTGTATTACAAATAAAAAAACATCGTAGCAAATTGTTTTATCATTGATTGTTCCGAGTACGCAAGCGGCCTTCGCAATCTGTATTACCAGGGAGATACTCTGTTTCAAAAAGTTGCCTACCAGGGTTCCTCAATACATATGCTTAGGTTCTTACAAAGCTTGGTTAAAAAACCTCATTGCTGGGGCTGGCCGCACCCAGAATCTCAAAAGCTAGCGGATGAAAAAGTCATCCAGTATCTACTAAGCTAATCAACTATTATTTTTTTCGCTCTTCCGCTTCAGCAGCAGCCGTAAGAGGGGTAGAGGAGAATTACTACCGTTCCATACCACAAGAGCAGCTTACCAGCAGCTCATGGAACGAGCGCCAACCCGTCAGCTTACTTTTGATTGGTCCTGCAGAGATGTCGTGCCTCTAAAACGGAAGGAATGTGAAAAGATGATAAACTCTGCTTTATGAGAGTGTTCAAGTTTGAACCTATAGAGATTCTCACCGTTTCTAATGCAAAAATTTCACGCCAAGGGTCTTCACTAACGTCCTTCCCGCACACACATTTAGGCTGTACGCAAATTATAGAGCCTAATTGAAGTCCTATCGCGATTTGAGTTGTTGAATCGATAGTTTTTGCACGAGATGACGTTCAACCATTGGGAGCCAAATCTATCCTAGATTGGTTCGAGTCATAAAATCAAGTCCGTATTTTTGCTTTCAAAAACTGTTTCTGTCCACCTTTTTTGAAGTTCGTTTTCCAGAGACATTTGAGTTTTTCCAAGTTCAAGCAACCAGTTAAGCGCATAATTATAAGTTCCATCCACGTGCTCTGAACCAAAAATTCCTACATCGTCATTCCTACAGCTGAGGTAAGGAAAGCGCTTAAAGCTAATAGACGAGCGGAAGAAACAACCAAGCCAACTTGGCTGCCTGTAGAACTCCTTGTAAAAACTGGTTTCTATCCATTTTCACATTATTGATCTTGCATAACGCGTTTTTTATTTTTTTGTCGTAGTGTGCCAAACCAAAAAATCAATTTGCTAAAATAAATCTCTCGTGGTACGCAAGAAAACATAGAAATTTTGGCAGGCTAAAGCAATTTTTCAGGAGATAAAAACCGTAATGGGCGTCTAGTTTGTCAATGTCATCCCAGATTTGTTCAAGATTCATAATTTTTTTGTCGAGGAAGTTTTTGACAAACTTTGCCGATTTTGTTTTTATTTTTATTTTGGGGCATAATTTTCGAAACTGATTTAAAAGTGAATTGATCTGTGTAATCATGTACCGGAAAAGAAAATTCGCACAAAATTCAAGCTCAGACCGTAACTATGTTCCGATTTCAGAGTGTTTTTAAGATCCCGGAGTACTATTTTATAGTTCTTTGCTAAATTTTGATTATCTTAAAACCATTGTTTTTTTTGTCGACTCCAGCTGTTTTACTATCGTCTGAAATATTTCCGCAGGAAACGGTGGGGCTTCAAGGCTTCTGACATTATGGGAGAGCTTCCGTTTAAAGGGTAACTAGGTTATTGTACGAGCTATGGGTATATTTCTACCTTTCTGGGCGGTTCGAAAACTTGATTGAACATTGTTTCTGAATTTAGAGAGTTAAAGGCATTCTCAGAGTATAGTTTGATAAGAACAGCGCATTTCGGATTGTCGCCGCGCCCATTTAGGTTTCAAAAGGAGTGTGCAATTTCTTGTGTAGCACCCAATTGCTAGTTTCAAATTTCAAATTCAAGTTTCAAGTTTCACTTGATTTCAAATTTTTTTTTACACTTTTCTTAACATAATTTCAAACTTGTACATCAACATCTTAATTTATCGGAACTTTTGAAAAAATTTTCGCTTTTCTCGCTCAAAACGGTTTATTTTTTGTGCGCAGTTTTTCTCAACATTGATAAAAACTATTGAAATTTTCCAAGCATCGATCGAATCAAGAAGAAAAAGAGCCCGATCGTGAAAAGTTACTCTTCTCGCTTGAGACTCATTGTCAAACTCAAAAATTCTGGGCAAAAATGATGAAAGTAAATTAAAACAAAACTTAAACCAAAGTTGATCTCCTTTCTCAATGGTCGCGAAAAAACTTTACGCAAATTCCTGCCAGCAGAGCATGCTAACTCATATTTCTTGAAAGTTTAGAGAAATTGTGGGGCCTTTTTACTTATTCCGCCCAAATTTTTTCACTTAGCGATTTTATTATATTCAATGTAAAAATGCAGAGAATGAAACACTCATAGCAGTTATTGCAAAACACTGATCAAGGGTAAATACAAATGCGATCACCTTATTTTTAAGCTCATTTCACACAAGGCCGAACTTTGAGATGTGGAGGCAGTCATGTTTTTTCCTGGAGTTTTTTTCTGCGTTTTTTTTATCTGGGTAAAACTCTGCAGCTTATTTGAATAACTTGAGAAAAACATATGCTCGCGATGGTTTTTTTTGCTCGCGATGGTTTTTTTTGCGCGAGAAAAATTGATTGCGTATGGGCATCGATCCGGAAATCTTGTAATTGCCGAGCGAAATGAGTATATTTAAACTTGACTAAATTGCGGCTTTGCAGCTGGAATACTACTTTAATAGCCTGCTTAACGCAAAATATTTATACGTCGCAAATTATCTGCACTCATAGTCGTTCTAAATTTAATTGAGGCAAGCTAATTGGTTTAATTAAATCCATAAATGACTCCAATTTTAATACTTTGATATCATCAGCGTAAATTTTGTAGTTTGCATATGTTTCATATAATAAAAACAATTCCGGACAAGTTAATGGGCAGTCGGTACATTCAGGGCTTTGCCCTGATATGAGCAGTGTTGTTTGAAAAAAAAATTGAATAGTTTACCGAACATTTTAAAATTTTGCCGGTTCGGCTTTTTAACACAACCGTTTGAGATGGAGATGAAATTTGGTTGGCTCATTCAAGCCAATCAGATTGAAGCACAAAAATTTCAGTTCAAGATGGTGAAATAATGATTTTTGGGCGGAATAATTGACCCGAACTTTGTATCGAAAAAGTAACCTCAAATTTGTTGCTTTTTTTAGATATGAATGTTCTGGTGATGATTATCGCTGGACAAAAGGATCAAATACTGGTCACATTAGACGAATTTTAATTCTTTTGATCCAAGTGCAAAATGAAAAATGTGTATAAAGCAATAGACGCCTAAGCGCTTTACTTATTCAACTTCCAATGGTGTTTTTTTGCTGTTAAGATTTTAGGTTTTTGACTTGGTTAACTTCGTGAAAATTATACTGCCTTAGAAACTTCTGCGCTCTGAAATGATGCTGTTTAAGGCTTAAATGACCCTTATTACGACTGATACATTCAAGATAATTATTTGAGAACAAACTACAAAAAAAATTAATTAACGATAATAGTTATGTGCAATTTAATCAAACTATTATTTGCAAAATTTATATTTTAAAATCATAGGCAAACAGAATTTTTAATTCAGCTAAGATGTGTATCTACAAGAATGCTCGAGGTAGTTTGATGATACCTCAAGTGTATTGCAAGTAAAACAAGAATAATAAAATGATAGCTAACAGATAGTTGAAAAGTGTTAACCAACTCCACGAAGCCAACAATAACTACGTTGTTTAGTTTTTTTTTCAAGAGTTCCAGAGAACATTTTAATCAAATTAAAGTTTTTTTCATGCGATACGTATCATAAGCCAATTGTTACAAAATTGAACGAGTATACCTATTGTTTTTCATTTTGCTGTTAAATCTAAGAATAAATTTCATCTTCGAAATTATAAAAGTGTCAATTTAGCGAAAAAAACTATGATTTTCTGCTGTAAGAAAAGCGACCACACAAGCTTAATAGTAAATGTAACCTGGCTTTGTTCATTAACACTGAATCAAAAGCACGACTGCCTTAGTTAAAGTCACCTGAAAAAGCGAGTGGATGTGGGCACTCAATAATACGAGTAATTCGTCAGATCTAAAAATAAAAACCAGTAAATCTTAATTTTACATGTAAATCAGGGGCGGATCTAGAATTTTCTAGGATTCATTCGATGGGGGTGCGGATATCAAAAAAAAATCGAACATTGTCGACCAAAATGATTTTTTGACCAAATCACTATAAAAACCATATTTTGACCAGGTTTTCTGCGCGCGCTCCCCCCTCAATTTGAGAATACATTGGCGCCAAGAGTCGAGTCAGGCAAAAATGATTATCTCAAATAGTACAAAGGGGGAACGCTTTGGGTCGGCAGGGGGTCGAATCCTTGAATCAGGTTTGGTACACGGTTTTATTATATACTTTGTATTCATTTAGAGTGTATAGGTGTTTCCAGGGACGTATTTAGGGGGAGGGCGGACGTCCCCCCCCCCTCAGGGATTCGACCACCTGTCGACCCAAAGGGTCCCCCCTTTGGTACTTTTTAAGAAATCCATTTTTGGCCGAACGACTCTTAAAATTTTCTAAAGGCGCCTTTTGGCGCCAATATATACTAATTTTAAGGGGGAGCGCGCGCAGAAAAACGCGCCATTAAGGTCAAAATTTTCCAAAAAAACCTAAAACGCATTTTTGGCCCGTTTCTTCAAAATTTTGCCTGCAGAGCAGAAATTTTCGCCCTTCTCGAGAAAATTCTAGATCCGCCCGTGGGTGCTTCAAATAATTCCGAATATTTTTGCATTTTTGCTCACAAAAATTTCTTCAATGTCTAATCTATGAGTTGAGGGCCCAGTTATATTTTTCCTATAACAGCTATAACACCCATTACATTATTATATCATACATGTAGCCGACTAGTTTATTGGGTTCTTATAAGTGTATCGGGATATAAGTGGGACTGATTGTTTTGCTTGCTTTTTCAGCTACTTTACTATCAGGCTTGAGCCTAATTTGAAATTTATAGAAATGTAGATTGCAGTTCAGGTTTTGGATCCGAACTAAGTGGACTATGTATCTAATTTGTTATGTTTTCTAAGCGGCCGACTCTTTGGTAGATTGACAATCTAGCGTGAGCTCATTGTGTGATGGTGCGATGGTGTTGCTGACTTCATTCGCAGTAGTTAAGGTCGAATCGCTGCCATGATCGTCCGATTGTGAGTGACTTTTGAGACCCTTCTGAGGTTGCTGCTCTAATGAGGTTCCAGTCGCATCTCCTCTTCCTCTGTTGTTGTTCTGCTTCTCTCTTCCTCCTTCCAGCTGTCGCCTGTTGTTGTTGTTATTGTTGTTGTTTTTCTGGTTATCTGCCAGTGACTCGCCTATTTGCTGCTGTTGCATTGCGTGTACTTTCCGCAGTGGGTGGCTGCAGTTCGATCCCCCCAGTGAGTCGTCGAACACGTCCGTTCCGAAGGAGTCATCCGCATCTCCCGATTGCATGGCTCCCCTCTGGTGTTCTGCACATCAAAGACAAAACGAAATCAAACGGTCGAAAACATGGAATTAGAAAATTTGTAATAAAATAACCAAACAAATTAACGGCTCTTTTCCAGTTTCCCCCTTTCAAAATACCGAGTTTTGTGTTTGTTTTACGTGTTCTTACGGCTAAATGCGTGATGTTACGCTGTAATGTATGAAGAACAAAATTGTTCACAGTTGTCGATTTGTCATAATGCAATGAAATTTGGCGTGCTGAACAAGGTCAAATAAGCGTTTCAAATTTGAATTTGAAGGGGGGGGGAACTGGAAAAAGCCCAATTAACAATCACTACCATTACCAAAACTGATAAAACTTAATAATCTCTAACGGTTGGTTTTCCTTAAAAACCAAAAGTGTAGGTGTTTTTTTTTCTATAGTGGACCTTTGGCTCTTTTCCACTTTTCCCCCACATTCCAAATTTTAGTTTCTGTTGTCTTTGCAGGTTATTTATCATGGGTGAATGCGTGATGTTACGATGTAAAGTATGAATAACAAAGGTGTTCACAATAATTAGTTTGTTTACCATACCAATCCAAAATTTCGTCATATTATGACCAATTAAAATTAGTTTTTCAAACCTCCAATTCAGATGTGGGGGGGGGGGGGGGGTGTAAAAGAAACCTTCTAAAAACTTTAATTTCCAAAAAAAAAGATCTCAGGATATAATAGAATGCTTTCAATTCAGTATATGTTGGGAAAAGGAAAGCAGTATTTGGAGCAGGGCATATAACCTCTTTGGGTATCGAATCGGAACTTTACATTCACCACAGCACATTCGTTATAATCTGAGATACTTAAACTGTTTATTTTCTGTCCTCCTCAATCTGACACTAACTTTACTCGTTAGTAGTTAGCTGAAATGTAACAGTGACATTTCATATAGTATACTCTTTTTTGTAAGCTATCATTCACTATACTTCTTTTCGCGACTTTTGAAAATATAGAGAGAATCATTAAGCACGGGACTTTATATTTCGTCCGACAAAACTCGACTTTTCCACCAATCAATGTTGATGGAATATTTTCCTCTTGTACTCAACAATTTGAATTAGATCACTTTGTACTTCAAATAGAGGTAATTTACCAACACTATATACACCAAAAACTTCTTTTAAAAGCAAAAATTCCCACCGGTACTTCCTAGACAACTCGGAATTTTGAACCAACTCTTGATCGCAGAAAATTTTTTGACTCTTTTTCTCTTTTGGGAGATGTTAATTGAGCTCAAAATAAAACAAGACTGCTCGTATCAGGGTGAAGCCTTGAATATTCTGACTGCCTTTTAAGGTCTATGAAGCAGTGATAACACTAAAAAATTAAAGGTAATAATACAAAACGAAAATTTTTTTCCCCTAAAACTTGAAATTTTTTATGAAAATCATCCCCCCACACGCCATATAACGTACAAAAAGATGAACTTTGCGGCTCTTTTTCCTTTTCCCGCCACCTGCAAATTTTTACATGCAAATTTGTGGATCACATTGTCCAATTGTTATGAAAATTCACATACAGACTAATAAGGCCACGACAAACATATTTGGTCTTCATACTCAACCTCGTAAAACCACTCGTTACACTAATATATTGAAGCCCGTGTGAGGTGGGGGGAAAGGAAAAAGAGCCGATTTTGCTCCTTGTAAGAAACCAATTATGGCAAATAAGCTTCTTTCAATTAATTTGGAACGATTTCTAACATGGATTAGATCTCCGCTTACGCGTTAATAGCGCGAAATATATAGCGCGTTAATTGTCCCAGATTGGCCAAAATGGCAATCTTTAAACCACCATAAGTTCACAAAAAAACAATCACAGGTGAAATATTTTTTTAAATTTAAGCTCAAGACAACAATACCTTTTGAATGATGTAAAAAAATTCGGTCAAAATGGCTAGTTAAAAAGTCGAAATTTTTCTGAAGAAAAAAAAACCCATCCCGAGCACAAATATTCCGTTACTTTCGTATCGAAAGTCGGAACAAAAATATTTTTCAAGACAAAATTTTGGGAAAACAAAGCGGCCAAAAATAGCAAGTCTATTTTCATATACAACAACCAATTACTGAGAAGTCAATTTTAACAATCTGACACAAACAATTGGTTTCATTTGTCATTACAAGTCACAGAATAAAAAAAAATTGCACTTCATATTGTGTGTAGAGGAAACCTTAACAAAAAGGAAACGTTTTTTGTATTTTTGTTTCGGAAAATTTTGGTGGTTTTTTTTTGTTAAAAATGTCATCAAAATCAGCCAAAAACTTCAACATCAACTTCAACATCAAAATCATCTTCAACATCAAAATCAACCAAAAACTTCGCCCAGTTACTGCTGTTTTGCAAATATTTAAGCAATGAGATGTACAAAACAGCTAATACATTTTCTATAAGCCTTAATTCTTACAAATTTAGTCAGAAGAATTACTGACCTAAAATGCATCAGGAGTCAGCTATTAACTTGCAGCGAGAAAAATTAATCCGTCAAAAGTTTTCTCTTTCTAGAAAAATTTTAACATGATTTGCAAACTCATTAGTTTAGTTTTTCTCAACTTTTTAAGCGTGCAAAGCCGAAAACAGATAAAAAATTAAAGAGGGTCATTGAAATAAACAATCAAAAATACAAACCGGCAAGCGCAGCTGCGCATCACTTGTATGATCAAAAAATGAAATTCACCCATTTGTTCAAAAACTGGGCAAGTTGAATCAAACTTTGTGACTGCACATTATAAAATTTACCGAAATTAAATTTATTTTTGCTAATAGGAAAAAGATTCGATAAACTAGTTATTAAAATAATTTGGTAATTATCAATTTTTTAATAGAAAACGGTTCAAAAAATTAGTCCAATTAGTAGACTTTTTTAAAATATTGAAATGAATGAATTGTCGTTTTACGGTTAAAAAAATGAAACTTGATTTGTTTTGTAAAAGCCTCGTTTTTTGTCGTTGTTTTTGAAAAAGACATACTCAAATCCAAAAAAAAACTTTTTTTTTCTTTATTTTTTTGGCAAACACGTCAACAAAAGCAGTCGGAGTTTTCATAATTTCGCTTAGTTAGTGCTGTTTTGCATTGCGCAAACATTTGAGCAATAAGATGTACAGAAAAGGCTAAAAAAAATTGTATAAGCCTGTATTTTCAAGAAATTAACTAAAAGGATGATTGGACTACAATGTATTCAGGAGTTAGCTATTAACTTGTAGCGGGAAAAAATTGTGACCGTCAACAGTTTTCTTGCTTGTAGAATAACTTCAAAATGATTTGCACAATTATTAGTTCAGTTTGATTCAATTCAGTTTTTACAAATGCGAAGCATTAATTTGATTTGATTTAAAAAATTTAAGAGTGCAACTGAAATAAAAAGTCAAAAATACTAACCGGCAAGTACACCTCAAGAATTCGACCCCCGCCGACCCAAAGCCCCCCCCCCCCCTTTGTACTATTTTGAGATATACATTTTTGGTGACGGACCCTAAAATTATTCTAAAGGCGCCTTTGGCGCCAATATATACTAAATTTGAGGGGCGAGCGCGCGCCAAAAAAAAACAGGGTCTCTGTAGTGCTTTGGGGAGCTCGGAAAATCAGTTTGGTCGACCAAAAAAAAATTTTTTTTTGAAAATTCCCCCTCGATAAATTCTTAGATCCGCCCCTGAAGCTAGCTATTAAAATTGGTAAAAATCATTTTTTGAACCTATAAACGGTTCAAAAATTGCTGCAGTAAGTACATATTTATATATTTGTTTAGATTAAAGAATTGCCGCTTTCTAGTTCAGCAAAAAATAGAATTCTATTTTTTTTCTGCAAGCCTCGTTTATTTGTTGTTGTTTTAGAAATAGACATCCTTAAATTCCGCATTTCCATTTACAGCTTTTTGCAGTAAAGAACTCATGATTTATAGATAAAGTTTCCAATCAAGTGGGATTTCTGAACTTAATTTCACCTCAGTAGCTAACGATTTTTCGCTCCTCTGCTCTTTTGATTTTAAGGATTGCTAACTGCCTGTTCTTTAGTGATTCAAGTTGCCTATTTCCAAAAATAAGATTAAGCGCTAACATTTTTTAGGATTTTGACGTCACGAAAAAAAGACAACAAACCGCCCGACCTAATTAAATACAAACTCGTTCGCTTGAAAATTTTAATTAAATTTGATAATTAACTTATTTTGGAGAATTGACAAATCTTCAATTGAATGCAGCGTCTGAACACCGCCAAAAAAGTTTTTGATAGTTTAAAAAATATAAAACAGTTTTTGAGGGGTGTATTTAATTTCAATTTTTCAAAAAGGCAAGTAGAAACACATTGAAGCACAAGTTTTAAGAAAAAGGGAAGCGCTGACTTTTATCAATTGAAAATGAAAAGATATTGGTTACTATCAAAATTACAAGAAAATTGGTTGAACACGGTTGAACGGCAGATAAAGGTAAGGTTTTTCAAATGGAATTGAAGCAAGTCAATGGTTTTCATCATTAAAATACGATACGGTAATTAATTCCCTTTAACACTTTATATAGCGTCCGGAGTGACGAAAATAAAAGAACACTTTTTTAGTTAATTTATCAATTTTTCGAGAAAAAATTTCAATTGTCCTTAAATGAGTGCAGTCACAGAAATACATTTAAGTGATAAAAGTATTTCTCAAAGGAAAAATAGAACAAGACTGCTCTCATATCACGGCAAAAAAAAAACTTAAGACTTCAGTTTCGACAAAAAAACAGGTCCGACTGAAATCGAACTTATGCAATTTGTCGTCTCAAGCATGTGCTATCACTGTGCTAAATGCACAGAACATTTCTTGAATTATGCAGTAGTTAACTTTCAAAAACTTTTAATGATCAGCATGAAAAAAAAATCGAAAAATAGTAAAAAAAAAAAAAAAAAAAAGGAAGAAAAACTTCTTGGAATTCAGTTTTTTGCCCAAAACGGGAATACAGTGAACTGTTTTCTAATTCTGGTAACAAATGCCCAAAGTTTAGGCAAATTGGGTGCTGCGGTAACTAAGCCGACAAAAAAGCAGACAAACAGAAGTCCGGCAAAGATTTTTTGATAAAAATACCCTAAAACCAGGCAAGTGCTTTCGCCATGCACAAACTAACGTTTCTATTTTGATTTGAAACAAAGGTACAATGATTCAAGTGTGCTGTTAAACTAGTTTATGAACGTTTCTGTTTAAAAACATTTAAATAAGAACGATAAATTTATCAATTCCAATTATCGAACACAATAGATCTCGTTCTTTCAAAATCATCATTTTTTCTGACCCTTCAAACAATCGGAAAAGCCGGCTCAAAAACAAAAGATACTTATGAAGATTTGTAGGTTCAAACAATTGACACTGAACCTCAAAAATTAAGTTTAACGACATTTTTTTGGATAAATTAACCAAATTTAAGAAAAGAGGATTAAAAAAGATTTTTTAAATCCCATTGGGGGATTCTTGGCAATTTCCCACTTTAGTTTCGTCTAGAACGCGAATATTTATTTTCTTTCGCTCAGAATTACGATGAAAAGGGCCCACCTGGCGCCCAGTTGCAACTTATTAACGTTTAAAAATTTTGCCTGCTTATTTCTGTTAGTTTTTTCCGGATAGCTGTAATCAACTTTGTAAATTGAAAAACGTATTTTTATATTGGAATTAAACAGAAAAGCGAAATTTAAGCTTGGGGTGCGATTTTTGTTGATTTTTTACCATCTAAAAAATACTGTTTTCTTGAACTCAAATTTAAAAACAATTCAACATTTGAAGCATTTCGCCTGTGATCATTTTTCGTAAAATTATAAGGGTTTGAAAATTGCTACTTGGGCTAATTTGGATGGTTAACAAGCGATATATTGCGTGCTTATAACACACGTAAGCAGCGGATCAGTGCATTCCAAAATGAATTGAGGCAAGTCTATTGGCCTTATTATTGGGATACAAGACGCTACGCTAAATACATCCTTTTGTAGTTTACATTGTCGTATGGGGGAAAAACTTTCTGTATGGTTGTTTCATCATTTATTCAATCATAAAATTTTTAAATTGGCCTAAATTGTAGTCGGAACATTGAGAGCTTCGATCTGCTGTACGAGCAATCTTATTTACGTTGGATTCAAATAGAAAAACGCTTATTTACGTTGCACGCTTTTTTACGTTAGATTTATTTTGAAAAACACCCAGATGCGAATGCAAATAATCTTTGTTTTGTCAAATTATATCCACATTTTTTGCTTAAAAATCTCTGTTTGACATTTAGAAACGCGTTTTCGGATGCTTAACTCAATTATTAACGTTAAACATATCCAACATACAGTTGAAAAAGAGTCATTGAAATTTAGAAATAGATACTCTGAAAGCTCTTTTAAATTTTAGAAAAATTTATGATTGGTTAAAATTAACCCAATTTGAGAAAATAGATACTCTGAAAAAAAATAGATACTCTGAAAGATACTCTGAAAAATAGATACTCTGAAAGCTCTTTTAAATTTTAGAAAAATTTATGATTGGTTAAAATTAACCCAATTTGAGAAAATTTGATCAATAACTAAAATTTATATTTTGCTGGGAAATCTGAAAATAAAAACCACGTTTGAAACTACAGTGCTGATCACAATATCAAAACAAAAAATTTCCAGACATCAAGACAAAAAATTAAAATGCGTTTTTCTCAAATTGACTTGAATTTAGATAAAAATTGATGCGGACAAAAATTGCAAAAATTTTAGCAGAATTATCATGGTGCAAAATTTTTTTTCCGCAACT